TTAAGTAAAACCTCTATTTAATAAATGTGCTAGTTGTGTGATCTAAGTTCAGTTTGTGTTCAGTTAGTGTTTAAACGGTGTTTTTCTGCATGAAGCTGCATTAGAGCTAAAACGGCTCCGAACATTGATTATGAAGTGAACCGGTATTATTTACACTGGGCTCACCAAATCATCAACAAACGGATAAAATCGATAGGCGATATGAGTGATTCCCGTAAGTCCGTTAAACCAACAATCAATTCGAATCTAACGATTTTAAATTGGCTCACTACTTGACTAGCTTATTGGTCCCAAACAAACGATTAACGTATCCCATTCTAGTCAAAATTCTAGTACTACATTATGTTTGTTTTGATTTGCTATGAAAGTTTGAGGGATAAATGAGGGGTTCATGGATTTTCTTATGTTTCGAGGGGTGCATCGATTAGCTTGGGACCGAAGATAGTACCAGAGCTGAGCCAAAAAGTTGAACACGAATCTTGGGGACCTTCTGGTCTTAGAGTTACATCTATGATTAAACCCATTGAAGCTACAAGATTAACAAACACGGTAAGAAAAAAACACTCAACATTGAGTTAAAAGTTAAAAGTACTCAACCGTCATGTTTTCACCGTTTAGAACTTTTAACTTATTTTTGGATGAAAATCATAGCAACGTTTGATGCTGTCATTTTTGTGTGCTCTATAGGCGTTTTAAATGGGAACTAAAAGATTGATTCAACCTCTGGTGGTGAATAGGAGAACGTCAAAAAGAGTGTTATGAGCAGAAATTTTTGCCTTGAGTCATAAGAAACGGAACACTTTTTTACTTTTCCTGATAAATTGATTCATCTGAGATGCTCCAAAACTTAATCTACAGTTGAAAAATATAATTCTGTAACGTTTTTGCAAACATCCTGCTGGTGTACAGGAATATTTTTGTTGCGAAAAATGGAAAATTAGAAAAGTGCCTTAGTGGTTATGATCTTCCGGATTTTCTGTGTGTGGATAGTTAAGGTACAAATCAGTTCAGATCTGTGGAAAATCGTACAATAAGACAATTACCGATAGAAAGGTAAGATGTTGAATGAAAAATGCTTTAATTTGCGTTGTGAAAAATAGTTATTCTGATGTAAACAAACGGTTTGGTTGACGTTTCTTCTCGAACTCGCGTGGCGCACTCTACGTTGGTGGTGCATTAAAAAGGCGTATCGCCTTTGTTCGTGCTCTATTATGGCATTCGATTGATCGTTAGGTAATTTTTACTCAATGGATTATTGATCAGGATTACTCAAAATTTAGTTTTCATCATTAATTTAATTTCACCTAGCCCCATGAAAGCCACATCAGGTATAACATTTGATAACGGCACAAAAGCATTTCTAAACAAACTTTCTGAGGCCCTTTACACGTGAACCAAAGTACGCCAACGCAAACCAACAACATCATACTTTGGTTAGCGTGTAGAGGGCCTTAGAAAGTTTGTTTACAAATGCTTTTGTGCCGTTATCAAATGTTACACCTGACATGATGAGTGAAAGTGAACTCAATTTTTACACTATCTCTAAAGTACCCGTTATCGGGTAAAAAATACCCATGTTAAAGAAAAGTGGCATAACTCATTAAATTAACTTTTTTACCCATTAGTAATGTAAGGTAAAAAATACTACTAATATTAGTTAAGCAACTTTTCTTCAAATTGGACCTTTTTTTACTTATTAATGGGTACTTTCAAGTTAGCGTGTAGGGTACCTCGTTCCCCAGCAACATTTACAAAGGCATACAAGCCAAATGTAAGCAATGCATTTAAACATCGGTTGTTCTCGATTTGCAACATGCCCACTCAAACTAACTACATCATCTGATAGAGCAAATTATCTCTCTGATGCTGGTGTCGATATGCCAGATTGAGTCTATATTCACGAGAAATCAACGTTTAAAGTCATTGTTTACATTTGGTAAACAGGCCATTTTTACATGTTTCTCTAGTTACTAGCTTTCTCCAGAGTCGATAATAGAAGAGTTACGCAGACTTAAACCCAAATCTACCTACACTCTTAGCTACGATTACCTAAAATTAGCGGTAAAAAGTTATTGGTATTTTTTACCGATAAAAATCGTTGCTTTTTACTTTAAATAGGCTATTTTTTACAATAAATTAGGTAATTTTTAACGTTAATTATTGATAATCCATGATTACCGATAATTTAGGTATGTGCACTTTCTTCGATTATCGCGAGGATTATCGGTCATTTCTACCGATATTTAGGTATTCTTTACCGAATTTAAGGTATGTGCATCTTACCGTGTATCGAACTGTCAACCCGTCTACCTATCGAGCACAGTAGACAAACTGACTCTGTGGCGTGGGAAGTATTGTTATCGAAACTAGAGGAAACTTTCACAACCCAGGTGAAGTCATCCGAGGTGTAAAAAAAAACAAAGGTTGCCAAAATCAAAAAAAAAAGTCCATTGATCGACATCAGTGTTGCAAGCTTCACTCTGCGTAACTCTTCTATTATCAACTCTGACTTTCTCTATCGTACGTCAAAACCATCCTAGGTCTGAAAGTTACGTGCCTGAAGGGCTACGTCCAAGATCCCCTAACCTCTGGTCAAGCCACGGAGGTCGTCTGGGGTGGGCAACACACGCCTCTTTTGTTACTAGCTCACCTTATAATTCAAATTTCTCAGGGTCGGCCACCGACCTCGGGAGGACTCAGAACAACCGATCACTTACCTTGCTGTGCCGAAATGAAATAACGAGCGGACAATAAACCCTCATCTGCCGAACATGCTGGCTCTTTCGATCAAAAAGATAAGTAATTGGAAAGTGTTTTTTTTTAGTTTGAATTACATATATTAAAGCCTATTTCTTGCTGCACTGTAGCGCTGGGGCCCCGTTGACAGTGGGAATTGGAAGGAGGGATGACACGTACCTTTCTGCTTCGTGGTGGTTTTGTCGAAATTACCGAATGGTGCTGCCGATCTCGAGGGGTGAACGAACGACGGCAACGTCAGTGGAGATGTGTGCCGTATCCTAGTGGTCTCTGCCACGTGGGTTCCACGTACAGTGGAGTCGGTCGAATCAGCCTTGCGGATCGTTAGCGGTAGATCGCAAGCTGAGGTGCTCGGGATGAAATTCACCTGCTGGCACGCTGGGAAACAGCGTAGCGTGCAACAGAATGGTGAAGTGAGTCAAACGGTAATTTACTCGACTTTGTACCGTGTAGCGTGGTACAAAACGGACCTCACAATCGCGAACTTTTCTGTGTTCGGGCTATTGGTTTAATCACCTGATTACTCCTTAGGGTAATCTTATCACCAACTCACTATGTTGCTCCTCGGAGCTTCACTACACCGTATCGACCTAACCTTTTAATGCGAGGGTTTTAATTAGCTTCTGGTTTGTTTCCTAGTCCCGACTTGAGTGACCATCGCTCCCTCGGTAATCTGCTATCCAAGCCCTCCATCTTCCATCCTTTTCCTTTTCTCCCATCATCCTTTCCTTTTTCCTCCCGGATCCAGTGTTGATGTGGCGGTACCAATTGCCCATTTACAGCGTTTACTCCAACAAAGGCTTTTATACCACTTGCTTTCAGGCGGTGGCTCGATAGTAAAACTATTTTTAAATTCAAGTTAACAATGCTAGATTTTTGTATTATAATTAATAAACTACTCGCAGTTTTCAATGAGAGCCAGTAAAAGTTATTTACTAGGAAATAATGTTAATAAAATCTAGAAATTCAGTCAGATGAACATCTATTGTTCCGATTTCAAGTGGATCGGTAACAGGTCAAAACAAAAACGATAAAGTTGAGTGTTGTGGACTGAACTGTGGAGAGTGTTTATGGTTCAATTTGCATTGATGCATTTTCAAAAAAATTAATAGCAGTTTTTTTTTCAAAGCCCCTACATTTACGGGAAAATCATATTTGCAGAATGGAGAATATCAGAATATCCACGATTTGTGACTAAACATGCTTTGACAGAAGAAACAAATTAACGAGTTTTTACCTGATCACCATAGTAATGTACTCGTGCAATTTGTGTGCATCTAAAACTTCTCATAAAGACGATAATGAATAAAAATTAAAAATTTTCATGCATTTCCAAATGGTTTCCTACCATTCCCATGGCCCTCTGAATGTGGATGATGTCAAAAACAACAAAACAAGATTAATTTAGTACATGGGACTTTACTTACTTCTTCCCACACTTTAGTACCTAGTTGTGTGTTTTTTCCTTGATTTGTTTTCCGTACTGAGTACCAATGCTACCGACGCCAGGGAAGCAGCTTCCACACCCACCCTTCGTGATCAGAGATTTTATACCTCAGAAAATAACTTAAACTTAATTTTGGGTATTTTTTTTACCGTGTGAGTAAAATTTTACTCAACTGTGAGTTGTTTTTGACACCCTTTTACGCTCAATTTACAGTGTACTAGTCATCTTTTGCGTCACTAGAGCCGCTAGTTTAGGAAAAATAGGATAATAGAAGAGTGAACCATATTGTTAGTTTATAATATTTGTTGTCACTCCCAACACAGTTTACCCATTTTTGGGTAGGTTCAGTTTTGACGGATCTGAATGGATTCAACCCAAATTAGAGTAATTTTAAAATAGCGTTCACCCACCTGTGCCGCTGCAATTAAGAATTTGTTTGCAGCTCTTCCATCACACCCCTGTTGCATTATACCCACCCAGCACCCAGTTGCCAGACTATCTTATGTAATTCCAGTAGTGTTCAAATTTAAAAATGGACCTTTTGTGGTATTATTTGATTGATAAATCATTGCAAACACATATATTCATAAATTTAAAAAGCAATACTCTTTCATAAAAAAGAAATCGAAACCATAATGCCTTTGTTGTTTTCCACGCGAGGTCTTGATAATAAACCATCGGAAAAGCATGACCCTCATTTGGCCGCACTGTTCAAGCTTCGATTTTTTTTCAATCTGACGTTTCTCGGCGGTGCACTGGCAAAATCCGTCAAAATCGAAATCAAAAACAACAACAACAACAGCAACAACAACCTGAAAGTACGCGGCGTCTGTTCGGGGTCGTTGTTTATTTTGCTGCATTTTCACGGAAAATGTGCTAAATCTGTGTAAATTAAGTGTGATTTATCGTGCAAAAGGCATACTCAAATTGTAACTGTTCAAGCTGTTGGCCTGTGGCAAGTTGTGTACAAAATCAGAGGTAAAAAATAGTTCTAACGGGCCAAACATGGAAACGCCGCTGAAGAACAAAGTTTTGTCCAAACTGCATCAAGGGGATGGCTTCCTGACACCGGCGGCCAGTTCCTCCGGGAATGATCGGTCCAGTCGGCACCTGACCAGCGTCACAAAGCTGCCATCGTCTCCATTCCTGACAAAGCTGGGCTTCGGAACGGGTAAGTAACCTAACGATCCACCAGGTATATGACCTTGACGGCGACGCTGACTGATGGAATTTTCCTCGCTTTCCAGGTGTTGAAGTACTTCGAATAAGACGGTCTCCGACGAAAAATGCCACCCGTTCGCCATGGGCCATCAAGATGCTGTCACGACGGAACGATCCGGAGCATGCAAAACTGTTCGGGGATCGACTCACCGAAGAAGCGGGCATTCTGAAGAACCTTGACCACCCGAACATCGTCGGTTATCGGGGCTTCGACTCACTGGAGGCGGGAAAAGAATACATTGCGATGGAGTATTGCAACACATCGCTGGGAGAGCTGCTACAGGCACGATATGCCGAGGGCTTGGGACCGCTGGAGGCACACAAGATTCAACGTATGTCGTTGGACACATTGAACGCATTGGATTACCTGCACACGGAAGCGTTGATCCTTCATGGGGACTTGAAATCGTTCAACATATTAGTTAAGAATGATTTCGGGATTTGCAAGCTGTGCGACTTCGGCGTCAGTTTGCCGTTGACGAAGGAAGGCTTTCTGGATACGGAAAAGAAGAAGGACGCCCAGTACGTGGGAACGGGCATCTGGTCTGCCCCGGAAGTGCTGGAGGAAGACGTTACACTGATCAGCTCCAAGGCGGACATTTTCAGCTTTGGGTTGGTGGTTTACGAAACGATTACCCTGCTGCCGCCGCACACGTTCACGGGAATGATGGACGAGAGCATTGCCAGTTCGGCGGATTATGCCGTGATGAAGTCGATCATTCGGGGCAATGCCGATGGAAAGCCAACCAACCGGAAGCTGGATGTTAGCGAGGTGATTGTGCTGGATGATGAAACCGAAGACGAGAAGGATGTTTCCGTGACCGTAAAAAAGAGAAAGCTCAGCAAAACGCTGGAGGGAGAACAACCGCCAAAGAAGGTTGCTTCGACGGAACCGGACTCTACGACGGGCCAGGTGATTACGGTGCCCGACGACAGTATTACGCAGGTGGACGATAGTACCATCACTATCGACGACGACGATGATGAAGATGAAGATGAAGATGAGGATGAGGATGAAGATGAGGATGAGGATGAAGACGATGAGGATGAGGAGGAACCCGAAGACGAAGACGAGGAAGAGGAAGAAGAGTACGATGAAGACGACGAGGGAGATTATTTGGACTACGGACGGCTAGGCACGCGGCCGGCCATTCCGGATGCAATCCAGCTGTCCGACGATTATAATTTTATACTGGAGGTGTTCTACGTGTGCACTCAGGAGGATTACGAGGCGAGACCATCTGCCAGGACGCTACTCGATGCTTGGCAGAAGAAAACCGGCACCGGTGAGGAACCGACGGCAGCGAGTGAAGATAAGCTGAACGATAAAGCACTGGATGAAAAGGAAGGTAAGGAATAATCGTTGCCGTGTGTTGCCGGGTAAGTTTGCTTTCAAAAATCCAGTTTTCGACGTTTATCCGCATGGGACGGACAAAATATATTTTCGACAGTTCAAACAACTAAGTGTGTGGGTGTGGATTACGTGCTTATGTGGTAATATCACGGCTTTTGTTAACTTTGCACCGTTGTGCACCGAATTGTAAGTTTATAAGTTTTGAAACTAATGTTCTGCCCGATAACAAGTCTGCAGCATAGACTCCTTGAACTGTGTCTCAGAGGCGGCGCACTACTGACAGACTATTGTACTGTATTGAGTGCTAGGTAGTGTCAAATAGAAAGCAAAAACGGATATTTGTACCTGTCTATGTGTAGAAGAGTTAAAATCAAAGTGAATTTAATATAGTGTTCTTCAGCTCCGGACAAATGTCCGGTAGTTCCTCCCACGCCGACGCCTGACCAGGGATGTTCCTGAGCAATCCGATGAGCCTTTGGCGGCAGTTGGCGTGGCTTGCCCACAACCCTGGGCAAGTATCTCGTCACTTCTCCCACTCTTAAAACAGTTAACTCCTACTCTCTCTCCCACTAATACAGCAATAAATGCAAACTCAACCACAGTAAAGAAAATCAGAACCATATCCATTCAAACGTCTCGACAATGGAAAGAAAAAACATCAGCTGAGCCGTGTTTCAATCAGAATAGTACTGAGCCGCAAACACCTTCAACTCACAAGATCAACGTCAAACCACCGAATAGGAAGACTAACTTCCTGCTACACTTTGATTCGCCAAGCGCGAGGCTTCCCACACCGACCCTGACCAGAGATGTCCCGGAGCAATCCGACAAGCCTCTGGCGGCAGTCGGCGTGGTTTGCTCGCAACCCTGGGCAAGTATTGCAACACATTTTCCACTTTTAAATCAGTCAAGTACTGCTGTTTCTCGTACCAATCCAGAACCCGATATACACGCCAAGCCTACAGAAGATCACTGCCAAACGTACCCAGATCCGGAGGTGGATCTTCGAGGGCACATGGATGACACTAGTTACGAATACCTTGAGCCAGTATCCTCCTGCCCAAGATCAATTAAGGTGGATTCTAACCAGAACAGCACCGTGCCACAATCACCCTCACAAACTTCAACTGTTTCTGAAACATATACTACCAGATTGCTCAGAAAACATCGTCTTTTGCAATTCAGTGGAACATATGCGGACTCCGACCGCATCTACAAGAACTACAGATTTTGATCGGAAAATACCAACCTGTCGTCATATGTCTGCAAGAAACAAATGCAGATAACTTCAGAATAGAAACAAATTTTCTGGGAAACAATTACTGAGTCAGTGCTCCTCTCATGGCAGACAAGGTGCTGGGATTGCCATAAAAAAAGGAACTCCCTTTCAACAAATAGCTATTCGAGCTAACATCCAAGCTGTCGTAGTACACTTGTACGCTCCAATAGCACTAACAGTCGCCGCAGTATACCTCCCACCTAGAGATAAAAATGCAGCCAAAGGGTTAAATGAACAGATAGAGGAGGTTCCAAAACCGATCCTCATATTAGGTGATCTCAACGCAGGATGCAGAACTCTTCATACGAAACAAAAAAACGTGGCGAAGCTATTTTGGATCTAGTGGTGCAACAAGACATGATTGTCCTCAACAACGGCTGTCACACTCGCATTGATCCTGCAACAGGAGTCTCCCAGGCTCTTGATGTCTCCATTTGCTCAATATCTCATGGAAAATATCTCTGGAAAACATTGCTAGACTACTCGAGCAGTGATCATCTATCCTGGTTGATAGATACTATTAATAACATAAACGAACCGAAACGTCGAACAAAATGGATGTTCGAAAAGGCCAACTGGGAACTTTACGAACAACTCATTAGTAGATCTCTGCGTCCCGGGTCTACCCAGACAGTAGATGATTTCACGAAAACTGTTATTAATGCGGCTGAATCTAGCATCCCTAAAACTACAGGGAATACAGGACCAAAAGTTGTCGTGCCGATAACATAGGCTATTTTCTATTGCAACATCTACCATACTCCGCAAAGATCTCCCTCTTGGAGGTGTTTAATCAAGTATGGGATAGTGGTAGCTTCCCGGCGCAGTGGAAAAAAGGATTGTAATCCCCATTCAAAAACCAGATGCAGATCGCAGTAAACCCAAAAGATACAGACCAATAACGCTGCTCAGTTGCCTTGGTAAACTATTCGAATGAATAGTTAATCGCCGTCTCATTACCGAACTGGAGGCAACAGGCAAATTGGATCCACGCCAACATGCATTTCGTGCCGGCAAGGGCGTCGACTCGCACCTCGCCAAGCTTGAGTCCCTTATCAGTCTAGAAGAAAACGAACACGTGGAAATCGCATCCCTCTATATATCAAAGGCCTACGATTCAACAAACCGACCCAAAATATTATGTACATTAGCAGCATAGAGGATTTCTGGACGAATGAAGAATATTCTGTCCAGTTTCCTTACTGACAGATATTTTCAAGTAGCTGCCAACGGATCACTCTCAAGTATCAGAAAAACTGAAAACGGAGTGCCACAAGGCTCAATCCTTTCTGTAACTCTGTTCCTCGTAGCTATGCAGCCAATTTTCAATGTCGTACCAACTGGAGTTGAAATCCTTCTACACGCAGACGATGTCATTCTCATAGAAAGAGGAACTAATCATGGAACTATTCGTACGATTCTTAGAAAAGCTGTTGTAGCTGCTGTTGAGTGGACAACTACTGTTGGCTTTGCCATCGCTCCAAACAAATCCAAACAACTTCACGTCTGCCATCTTCACCACCGAAAACGCGGTCGGGCTATAACAATCAACAGAACTCCAATCCCACTAGTGAGAAGTATGACAATTCTTGGGATCCTACTCGACTCTAAGTTAAATTTTTTAAGGTACTTTGCAACCAGTAAACAAAGCTGTCGCAGGAGAATCAACATTCTACGAATACTCGGACATCGCTGTAGAGTTGACAACTACTTGATAGTGCCTTGGATACACCCCTGTTTACTATGCTAGTGTGAGTGTTCTATGATTGCGGATGAAGAATGGAACAGTGGTGATGGGAGTTCAGTTGAGAAGTAAACGTTTGACAGGGCGAACTGTTTTCATGGCGATAGGATTCTACAATCGCCTCAAAAGGAGTAATCGATCAACTCTGCTTAGAATAGGATCAGCACTGGTCTTATCGAAACGTTTTTATGGCCTGGGAATCACGAGCGCCAACATCGAAGCAATGGAACGAACAATGGAAGGGCCCACTTACAACGACGTAGTTCGCCAGGCTCCTGGTGCATTTCCAACTAGCCCCATCATTTCTAACGGAAAAAAAATCCATGAAGCAACCGAGTATCCCTTGACAAAAAGAGCAAAAAACCTTCTTCTTGAAACAACCGCATGGTGTTTCCCAGATGTATGCATAATTCTAAGAGCTGCCGATACAGAGTGGTATGCACCAGTCCCAAAAATCGACAACATCCTTAGGAACAACAGCAGAGCAGGCGCAAACAGGAGCATCGTATTACCGAAGTTTATGGAATCCATAACTACTCGTTATCACGACCACGAGCAGATATATACTGATGGCTCCAAAGAAAACAACCGCACCGGTGCTGGAATAGTTGTGCACAACACAAACGTTAGTTTAGGCTTGTCTGACATATGCAGCGTATTCTCAGCCGAAGCATATGCCCTAAAAACAGCTGTATCGAATATCCAAGGCCAATAACAGTTCACCATATACTAGTGAAATGCAGAGGATACGCACAAGCTAGGAAATCTTGCGGAATCAATGAATCACTATGCATGATACTAGCTAACAATACCGACAAAGAAGAAGCAATATTAAAATTTCTAAGGGATAGTAACTTGTTCAATGAAATCTGATTAGTTAGAGTAAAATCTATTGTAGTATTAATTATCCTTACACGAATGCCACACAATAATGTGGTGAAGTGTCATAAATAAATTATAATAATAATAACTGTATCCCTTAAGATTACCACTATTATTATTATTATTTATGATTAGTCCATCTGGCTTTAAAGTCTTAATGAAACGCTAAAAGCTAAAAGTAGTCATACATTAAAATTGCCCGACATTAAGCGATTACGAAATCTGGATGAAGTGATGCCAAAATCGAATTGGTCGGATGCCACGTTGAATTGACGAACCATGGCGACAAGAGAGCTGTTAGCTGCATAATTGGTATTGTGCGCTTCCTCGTGTAGCAAAGCTCTCGGACGGAGTGTACGGACAGGTGCATATACATTAATCTTAGCCAGTAACTCCGGCACATCATATTCAGCAAGCAAAACTTTGGCAACGAAGACAGCCTGCGATGCGTTTCTCCGCTCAACAAGAGTATCCAAGCCCAGCAAACGACAGCGATCAGCATACGGTGGTAGATTAAGCGGGTCGCTCCAAGGAAGATAGCGCAAAGCGTATCTGACGAATCTACGTTGGACAGCTTCAAATAGTGCAATCCATACTGCCTGGTAGGGACTCCAGACAACACACGCAAACTCAAGCAATGAGCGCACCAATGAGCAGTAAAGAGCTTTAAAACACAAAGGATCCCGGAATTCGTTTGAGATTTTGAACATGAATCCTAGTTGACGGTTCGCTTTGTCGATTTTGGCTGAGAAAAGGCAAATGTAAGTAAGCTTTTCATGCAACACGACGCCAAGGTCTTTTACGTGATCAACACGTTGGAGTCTTGGTTGGAGTACAGTGTCAGCAACATTATAATCGAACAAAATAACATTTCTAGTTCGGTGGAAGCTAATTACACATTACTTTGAGACGCACAGGAGCATACAATTACGCACATACCAATCATGAAAGATCTCCAGAAGCTTTTGTAATTCTAAGCAATCAGCTTGGTTGCGAACAACAATGTAAATTTTCAGGTCATCAGCAAAAAACAATTTACCTCCGCTAGGCAGGATAAACGTTGCATCGTTCACAAATAGAGAGAAGAGCAGTGGTCCCAGTATGCTTCCCTGTGGAACTCCGGAACTGTTCGAGAAGCAGTAAGATGAGTAGTTTCCGATGCAGACAGTAACTTGCCGTTGCACGAGGTACGATCTCAGCCAACT